TCTACTCGTTTCACATAATTGTCTAAACTCTGAAGGTGATACCAAGCTGGCCGTGGCATACAGTTTCCTTTTAATGTGAATGGAATGGCATCAACATCAGATTATAGGATGTACAGGAGAATGCTCCTGTGGTGTAGGAAAATCGAACAAGATATTGACAAATGACATTACCAGATCTGATAAAATAAATGGAAGAGAATAGTACAAGTATGAAGTATTGGTGTCACTGCTCTCACTTTTCTTGCATTAATTTATGTAAGACTAAAAATAAGAGCACATATCTTATTTACAGGTACAATGTAAACTTCACAACCCTTCACAAGTTGCAGGTTTGTTCTTAAGAGGTTTGAGATATGCAAGATGCATGCCGACACTAGGCCTATGTCCTGACAAGCAAAGAGAGCTGCAGAAGTTGCTTCCAACAAAAAGGGAGCCTAAATATTTCAAACGATGGCAAGTATTCCTCTGGAGTACAATAATAAAACTGTAACCAGTGCTCTTTAGGAGAGTGCGCTAAAGGCAAATAAGTAAAACATTCTAGATGCCCTCTTAGTTATGACCATGCGCAAGTATTTGGAAACTATTGGTGTTTTACTGTTATTGTGAGTGTTGGATCAGTAAATTAATGATGTAGCTTGGTTTTGTGTGTTCGCTGATTCAACATTTCAACTTGCAGTGAGAATTGAGAGCCTGATTGTAAGTGTATCGTTGCAGAGCATGGTGTGTTTTAAACGATAGGCTTATAGGTGTGTACATGTGTTTGTGTACTTGACAACTCGTACGTGGTGTGTGTGTGTGTGTGTGTGTGTGTGTTGTGCATCGCAGGTAGTTAGAGATGATCCTTATCTCTGTATAGCTTCACCTAGGGGTCTAGTCTACTAACTACCTGCCGCCATATTATAATTCTATTAACCTATATAACACGCACGCGTCCCTGCTGATCAGCATATGCTTCCATGCATAGAACTTTACTTCCATGCATAGAACTTTACATGGTAACCAGAGCTAGCCTCGCGATCATCCATGGCAGGCTCTTCAAGGTCCTTCCCCTCATCTCCAGTTGCTCATGCCGCAACCGAGAAGCTCACCAAGGGGAACCAGGTGCTGTGGCAGGCAACCGTCCTCTCCACCATTAGAGGAGCATAGATGTCGGATTACCTTGACACCACGAAGACGGTCCCTCCTATGACCATTGAGGTCGCTCCTCCGACGGGAAGACAACGACCAGGCGCCAAATCCCAAGTTTCAAATGTGGTATGTGCAGGATCAGCAGATTTTCTCCTACCTACTGATCACACTGTCGGGAAAGATGGCGATCTAGGTGGCTTCCTACCACACGGCGGCGGAGCTGTGGAACACCATGAAAGATATGCTCACCTCCCACACTCGCACCAGGACCGTCACTGTCCGAATGGCACTCGCAAATCTGCAGAAGGGCAACGCCACCATCACCGGGTATGTGGGTAAGATCAAATCCCTTGGCCATAGGAAAGAAAGTTAAAGACTAGGACATCATCTCCCATATCCTTGCCGAGCTCGATGAAGAGTTCAACCCGGTCGTCTCCGCCATGTGCTTTCTGGTGGAGCCCGTCACTGTCCCGGAGTTGTATTCTCAGATCCTCAGCCTCGAGACCCGCATGAACCTCCGCAACAGGGCTCTCAATCATCTGCCAACGTGGCTGCTTGTGGCCCCTTCACCGAACAAACCGGCAGTGTTGACCGCAGACGCAACTTCCCCAACAAGCAAGGCGGCGGCAACAGTGGTGACTGTGGCCGCAACTTCTCCAAGCAAGGCACCCGCGGCGGCAGTACTAGAAACGGCGGCAGAGGCAGCTACAACAACGGCGGCGACATCTACAACAACAACGCCGCTGCCAAGGTGACTTGCCAAATTTGTGGCAAGGTTGGACATCCAGCCTAGAAGTGATGGAAAAGGTTTGCTTCCTCCTACAAGGGAGGAGAGGACAGATCGACCAACATGGCCACCTCTCAGTACGGTGTGGATACCAATTGGTATCTGGACAGTGGAGCAACGGATCACATCACCGAGGATCTGGCGAAGTTGACTATTTGTGATCGGTACACCAGGAACGAGCAGATCCATATGGCAAGTGGCTCATATATGACTATTGAGCATAATGGTCATTCGCAAATTCATACGCCTGATCGTGATCTCCATCTTACAAATATATTCCATGTACCTGAGGCTAGTATGAGTTTGATTTCTGATAGCCGTCTTGCTACTGATAATAACTCATTTGTTGAATTTCACTCGTACTCTTTTCTTGTAAAGGATCGGGGAACGAGGAAAGTCCTTCAAGGCAGGGGTAGGAGAGGCCTATATCCAGTCAAGCACATGGGATCACACATCAAGAAGCAAGTGCTCAGTGCCACCAAACCTTCCTTAGATAGGTGGCACCGACATTTAGGCCATCCATCATCGGTCATTGTTAGGAAAATTATTAGCTAATAATTTTCCTAACAATGATGGATGACAGATGTCCTTGATGAGAAATGAGCAAGACCATATGTTTATCAAAAATATAGCCCCTATATAAACCTAGCCCTTACTACCCGAACTTCTTACCTTCAAATAGGACTAACTGCCCGAACCCGCTTGCTTATCTTCTACGATCTAATTAAGTTAAGCAGTGGTTATTTTTTTAAGTGACTAGAACTTCTATCAACTACAAATGTCGGTGCTACCTATCCAAAGAAGGTTTGGTGGCACTGAGCACTTGCTTCTTGACATGTGATCCCATGTTCATGACTGGATATAGGCCCCTCCTACGCCTACCTTAAAGGACTTCCTCGTTCCCGATCCCTTACTAGAAGAGTATGGGTGAAATTCAACTAATAAGTTATTATCAATAGCAAAATGGCTAGCGGAAATCAAACTCTTACTAACCTCAGGTACATGGAGTATATTTTTAAGATGGAGATCACGATCAGGGGTATGAATTTGCGAATGACCAATATGCTCAATAGTCATACCTGAGACACTTTCCATATGGATCTGCTCATTGCCGGTGTATCGATCACGAACAATCAACTTCTCCAGATCCCCGATGATGTGATATGTTGCTCCACTCTCTAGATACCAATTGGTATCCACACCGTACCGAGAGGCGACCATGTTGGCCGATTTGTTCTCCCCTCCTTCATAGGAGGAATCAAACCTTTTCCATCACTTCCAGGATGGATGTCCTACTATGCCACAAATCTGGCAAGTCACCTTGGCAACAGTGTTGTTGTTGTAGTTGCCTCCACCGTCGTTTCCAGTGTTGTCTCCGTGGGCGCCCTGCTTGGAGAAGTGGCAGCCACTGTCACCACCATTGCCGTCACCTTGCTTGTTGGGGTAGTTGCGGCTGCGGTCACCACTACCAGCCTGCCGCTGCCGGTTTGTTCTGTGAAGCAGCCGCCATCAACCGCGTCGGTAGACGACTGAGAGCCCCCGTTGTGGAGGTTCATGCGGGTCTGAAAGCTGAGGAGCTAAGAGTACAACTCTGGTACACTAATGAGCTCCACCCGAGAGGACATGGCGGAGACGACCGGGTGAACTCTTCATCGAGCCCGGCAAGGATATGGGAGACGATGTCCTCTTCTTCAACTGTCTTTCCTACGGCCATCAGTTCATCACAGAGGGATTTGATCTTGCCCACATACTCGGTGATGGTGGCATTGTCCTTCTGCAGATTCGCAAGCGCCATCCGGACATTGACGATCATGGGGCGAGTGTGGGAGGTGAGCATGCCCTCCATGGTGTTCAACAGCTCCGCTGCCGTGTGGCAGGAAGCCACCTGGATCGCCTTCTCCCGTTGCAACATGGTCAGTAGGTAGGAGAAGACCTGCTGATCCTGCACATACCACATCCGAAACTCAGGGTTTGGCGCCTTGGTTGTCGTCTTCCCGTCAGAGG